GGGTACAGCAGATAAGAACGTATAAATTATACGTGTACATGGGGTGGTGTCCGAAGCAAATTGTTATATAACCAACAAAAAACACCCCTACCTTAGACGCGAGACGCAAACCTTCCATCTGCACACAAGTAACAACGAAGCTACATTTTGGCTACGCAAACTAAAATGTCAACGTTTTCTTCAGTCAACAATCCAACGAGCAAAAATGTTTTAAAAACGGGGGAGACGAAAGATCTGCCCCTAAATGTTATAGCACAGCCACCAACAGTTCGCGAGTGTGAGTTTCTTTACCTTCATCTCGCGGGGGGCTCCATCGTTTTACGGCGAAGATGTCAATGTTCACAAGGATGTCAATGATTACCAGCCGCATAAATGTCACCGCAGTAGAGTTTCTATTTACAGTGCGCAGTTGGTATCGACGTGAAAATAACTTCACAGTCGAAATAGTTACTCCACTGGCCAGTTTGTGAAATCCACCACAAAGGCCGCGTCAATCTCACCATGGTGGGAGTCCATCCTTGAGCCTTACACAACGCCCGACGTCTTGATTCAACATTCAATTAAAAATAATCCACACATATATACAGAATCCAACCTCAGTCTAAACGGGCTGCCAGTTGTTCATTAGTACTGCACTCGGGCGCAGTGATGCTAATATATTTGAAATAAATAGGCATTTCCTTTATTGTATGTAATATACAAATATGCATATATATGACTTACAGCGGAATATTTGTATTAAATTTTACTGAATGTATGGCATGCTATAAATACAATGTTATGTTTGCAGTATTACTATAAAATAAAATGAGCATGATAATACTGTAATATTGAATATAATTTCTAACATAAAGTGATATGAGCCATTACAAAGTACTTTTGATACTCCTCATTTCACCATGCAAATCAGAGCATACTGAAAACAATGCGCAGCTTCACCCCATTAGATCGAGAATGACGTTTGTATTTATGAACACATTTATGTAATTTTTAATTTAGCAAGTGGCTACAATGGTTCCTTAGCAAACAAAGCACTATCTCCGCGATAAAACACCTTGCTGTTGGAAACAATGAAGGAGGCATGGCTTGACTGGGCCCCTTTCACACGATGAAGACTCAACACTGCCCTGATTGTACTGGCAAAAATGAACATGCTGAAAACATTGGTATTCCTAGCAGCTCTCAAGAGACAACACACAGAGAGAGCATACGCTGGAGAGGGAATCTCTCAGATAAATACGCATATGAACATTGTCAACCTTCGACCCCCCCAACCCCACGTTTTAATAAACGTTAGGTAATGGTGTCACATTCGTTGGTGGCGCCACGGTGGTGAGATTGTTAACTACCTCGTCTGTTATGCAGGAGGCCATGCGTTCGACCAAGGCCCCGACGCCTGTATATTTGGAGTTTGCATGTTCTCTCCGTGGTCGTGTGGATTTTTTTTCAGGTCCTCTGGTTTTCCCCTCCAAATTTAGAAACATGCGTTTAGAGTATTTGGCTGCTATACATTTCCACACGATAACTCACTTCGTTGAGCTATCATTTGTGGCCAGGACGCTTCGAAAAAAGAGCTATATAGTTCAATGGGCCTAACCTGGTAAAATAAAAAATAGTTTAGTTTACAGTGAGGGAAAAAAGTATTTGATCCCCTGCTGATTTTGTACATTTGCCCACTGACAAAAATGATCAGTCTATAATTTTAATGGTAGCTTTATTTGAACAGTGAGAGACAGAATAACAAAATCCAGAAAAACGCATGTCAAAAATGTTATAAATTGATTTGCATTGTAATGAGGGAAATAAGTATTTGACCCCTCTGCAAAACATGACTTAGTACTTGGTGGCAAAACCCTTGTTGGCAATCACAGAGGTCAGACGTTTCTTGCAGTTGGCCACCAGGTTTGCACACATCTCAGGAGAGATTTTGTCCCACTCCTCTTTGCAGATCTTCTCCAAGTCATTAAGGTTTCGAGGCTGGCGTTTGTCAACTCGAACCTTCAGCTCCCTCCACAGATTTTCTATGGGATTAAGGTCTGGAGACTGGCTAGGCCACTCCAGGACCTTAATGTGCTTCTTCTTGAGCCACTCCTTTGTTGCCTTGGCCGTGTGTTTTGGGTCATTGTCATGCTGGAATACCCATCCACGACCCATTTTCAATGCCCTGGCTGAGGGAAGGAGGTTCTCACCCAAGATTTGATGGTACATGGCCCCGTCCATCGTCCATTTGATGCGGTGAAGTTGTCCTGTCCCCTTAGCAGAAAAACACCCCCAAAGCATAATGTTTCCACCTCCATGTTTGACGGTGGGGATTGTGTTCTTGGGGTCATAGGCAGCATTGCTCCTCCTCCAAACACGGCGAGTTGAGTTGATGCCAAAGAGCTCCATTTTGGTCTCATCTGACCACAACACTTTCACCCAGTTGTCCTCTGAATCATTCAGATGTTCATTGGCAAACTTCAGACGGGCATGTATATGTGCTTTCTTGAGCATGGGGGACCTTGCGGGCGCTGCAGCATTTCAGTCCTTCACGGCATAGTGTGTTACCAATTGTTTTCTTGGTGACTATGGTCCCAGCTGCCTTGAGATCATTGACAGGATCCTCCCGTGTGGTTCTGGGCTGATTCCTCACCGTTCTCATGATCATTGCAACTCCACAAGGTGAGATCTTGCATGGAGCCACAGGCCAAGGGAGACTGGCAGTTCTTTTGTGTTTCTTCCATTTGCGAATAATCGCACCAACTGTTGTCACCTTCTCACCAAGCTGCTTGGCAATGGTCTTGTAGCCCATTCCAGCCTTGTGTAGGTCTACAATCCTGTCCCTGATATCCTTGGAGAACTCTTTGGTCTTGGCCATGGTGGAGAGTTTGGAATCTGATTGATTGATTGCTTCTGTGGACAGGTGTCTTTTATACAGGTAACACGCTGAGATTAGGCACACTCCCTTTAAGAGTGTGCTCCTAATCCCAGCTCGTTACCTGTATAAAAGACACCTGGGAGCTAGAAATCTTTCTGATTGAGAGGGGGTCAATTACTTATTTCCCTCATTAAAATGCAAATCAATTTAAACATTTTTGACATGCGTTTTTCTGGATTTTTGTTGTTGCTATTCTGTCTCTCACTGTTCAAATAAACCTACCATTAAAATAATACACTGATCATTTCTTTGTCAGTGGGCAAACGTACAAAATCAGCAGGGGATCAAATACTTTTTCCCCTCACTGTATAGTTTTAATTTAGGTGGTGAAAAATCAGCTCTTGAGAAACTGCATCTCAATGTCAAGGTATTTAACTGTCTGTATGAAAAATATCTATGATAAATTAAATGTTTAGTTTCCCATGCAGTGATATAGTTTTTCTGCATTATTTGCACCTGAAATATTTCGTTAGCATACTCCCCGGGCCCAATGTCAGTCCGCGATGAATACAGCTCAGGCTGTAAAGTTACATCGGCAAAATCTGGCGAAGATGGACATTTTCATTTTATTTTACAGTGGAATAACCCTGGTGCCCTCCACGTTAACAGTAAATCAGAGCAGTCAGCTCCACACGTTCTTTAAAATAACGTCACCGCACCGTGTCGTGTGCTACGTGGCAGATCCGAGCGCAGCACTCCTGCTGGCAATAGAAGTGAGGCTTTAGGAGAACTTCATGCGGTCAACATAAAAGTGACCAACGTAACATGAGCCTGCTTTACTTGTTAAAAAAAGAAAGATTTGAGCTAAAACCTCGATGAAAAGCCTCCTCAAAAGTTTAATGCTGTGCTAAACGTCCACCTAGAAATGTTTGAATAGCTCCAGCTTAAACATTTGCAAATGTTGGCTCAAATGTAATTGATTTTCATACAAATTTTGTTCGTAATTGATGCACCTGCAAATAAGATTCACATTTTATATTTAATTCCGCATGCATAAATGACATTTTAATTGACTTAATGATACAAATTAGATCCACATGGCCACTTATGTTTTTTGTGACCACAATGCTACACAGCGCACTGCATAATATGTATACACTGTACAAAACATGCTTAAATTAAGCCACGTCAGTTCTTGACATCAATTTTGGTAGCCAAAAAGATACGTTAATAAAGCATTATTAAGTATGTTGCTAGTACTGTACTTAACACTTGTATTTGTCAGAAATGGCAAACACTATTTAAGCAGTACACAGAGAATCACATGTAATATACAATTTACCTACAAGTTCAACGACTTGTACGCTTACATAATTAGCGAGCTATGGAAGCGAGGAAAGGGAGGTGTGGTGACTAATGGTATGCTGTGTTTCATCAGCATGATTACTCTCAGTGTTACTTTCTCTTTCTCGTGACAATAGACTTACATTGTTGCTGCTACTTCTTTGGAATAAATGAGCTGTGTTAAAGATTAAAAAAATGAATACGGCCCAGATTTAAGCTACAGGAGTAATATGTTCTCATATTATACTCATTATATCTCCACATTCTCATGTCCTGGTTTCCCAGCCTCATGTAATTACAGTCATTAATGTGCACTTATAATGGTGGATTTAGGTGGGAAACATATCAGTATGATATTTTACAGCGGCCGATTCTCTGCACCATTCTAAATCTACAAATCTTTTCCCTTCATATGTTTTAGTAATTTAAACAAAAAATACTTCACATGTTTCAGTGGAGACTAATTGTATGTGACATTTTAGCTTAAGAATGTATACTTTTTCTTCTTTGGTTCTTTCGGTAAAGTCACGTAGAATGAGAATAAAATAATAAATTGATAAAATAAAATAACACAATAATATTCTCACGACGTTTCGGCCACAACACAAGCGGCCTTCATCAGCGCTGTCCTACCAGACAGTCTCGCCCCCTTCACCTGATGAAGGCCGCTTGTGTTGTGGCCAAAACGTCGTGAGAATATTATTGTGTTATTTTATTTTATCAATTTATTATTTTATTCTCATTCTACGTGACTTTACCGAAAGAACCAAAGAAGATGAATCATTGCAGTCACGAAAGCTTTAAATCGAAATTTAATGTATACTTTGTTAACTTTTCAGAGTAAATCTCAATGGTATCCCTTCAAACAACAGCAATCTTTCATGCAAAAAAAAACATTACTCTGCTCTCTCACACATTTGAATGCGCTGCATACTTTGCGTAATTTAGTTCACAGCGGCTAAATAGTTAATATACAACAAAATATTATACAGTTAAAACAAGTTTAACGGGACATTTTCACAGCTTTCTTCAAAATAAAGGTGAGGCCATGTTACTTCGCGGCAAGATGGTTTCATCGGGGTTTTTTTTTTCTCTGCAAGTTGTTTCGCTGTACACTGCACGGCTCAAATCATGGCACACACATTTCACGAAATGCAAGGCAGACTTGAGCAAACCAGGGCCGATGCGACAATTCCATCGCGATTCAGGCCGGCGCCGGCGGTGGCGGCTCTGCCTTGGCACCCAAAAACATGAACCATGCAGCGACGAACCATCTGGGATGCGCACGGATACAGCCGCATGGCCCGCAAGAGCCACCCCGAGGGTTCCCACCTGTCCTGGTTTAACCACGAACATGATTTTTCCGTCCAGAAAATAATCAGGACACGAATATCCCTCCCTGTATTTTGTCCGCAGCGTAATAATAGTTCTCCCCTCTCCTGGTATTCTAGATATTATTCTTACCGTTGATATATCTCGTTTTTTGTACCTTCCAGGTGGCAACCCTAGTCACACCCCCTCCCCTCCCCCTTGCCCATGTGTACATTGTGCGTAGGGAGCGACTCTCCATCGCCGTGCCGCTGGCTCGTTAAGAGACGTTGCTGTAATTAAGGATACGCCCGTGCCACGAAGATAGTTTGTGTTTTGTCTCACTGTGGAATGCACTGCAGAAGCGTACATTTGTGAGGCAGTGGTTACGATGGTTTTTTTTACACAACGGTGTCGCAGAAAATTACATAACGTTACGCGCAACAATTGAGAAGAAAGTGATACGTGTGCAAGTAAAATAGAAGGATGCGACTGTTATTAACATGTTTTTTCTTCGAAAAATTGAAACTATAAGCATTGCAAATAAATACAAAAATGAATGGCACACGAGTGCCATTTTCTTTTCACAAATTGTAAGATTTGCAAGAGGTACCACTTAAAATGTAATCTAATCAGCTTTGCAATCTTATGCTTGTGATAAGATATAAAAAAACAAATATAAGAGGATTACCTTGGCGAGAACTTCAATACATTGTATTTTTTGTTCAATGTCAAGTCTAACCAGGCAAAGTCCCTGCGGTTCAGTGAGATGACAGATGACGCATGGAGATTACTCACTCCGTACGCACGAGCGAGACTTGAGAAGACAATATGAGGTGCTGTTGACAAAAGATTGTCCTTGGCTAATTCAGCACGCAGGGAGGGCGGTCGGAGTGGTTGGGGACATCATGCGCAGTGCCATGTTATATTTTGTACAGAGCCACGGTGGTTGTTTGATCCTCGCAAGCTATGGGCAGAGTTGGAGTTTGTTGGAGTAGAAAACGACAAACGTCCCTTCAACGCTAACTGCGCACTTAACAGTAGCGCAGCACGTTTGTGCTACTCCATACAGAATTAGTGGACTGTACCCAAATGCGAAAAAAATAAAATGGGGTAAACCTTTATCACCACGGGTTATCCTCTACAGAGGTGGCTTTCCGACATGGCACGTGGAACAGTGATGGTTTACGTGATTACAATTGGGGCAAACGTCAATTACATTTTTACACAGAATTTGCCCCCCCCCTCCACACTCCCCAACCACTCTGCCCTATATTCGCAGCAGCCACCGCTGAACATGGCCACATTGTGAACTTATAAAGCCTGTTGGCAGCCATTCATTTAAGCGACTTGCGGGCAGCCCGTTCCACCACACCGCCTGTGCTGCACCTCCCTCGCTTCTCCCGCTGTCTTCAGGCGCCAACCCCTCGCAGCATTTTACCCCCCACGCCCCACCAGGAGCTGTGCCAGCCACGCTCAGGTGGGGCGAGGCGGAGCGTGCGTCGGAGCGAGAGAGCGAGGCCCACGCCTAGCAGGTGAAGTCCTCGTAGCCGGGCCGGCCGCCGGCGTGGTGGTGCAAGGCGTGGTGCTGGTGGTGGTGGTGCGGAGGTGGCAGCATGCTGGCCGCGTAGCCGGCACTCTCACTGTGGCCACGCAGTGCCTCGCATGGGCCCTGTGCGGACAGGGGTGGGTGGCAAAGGGGGGACAACGTTATCACTTCGTAGGGTGTCGCCGCTGTGCTGCGTGGCTCGCCGCTGTGCTTTCGGGCTGTGCCGAGTGTTGTCCGGCATGATGTCTGACATTTCATTCCACGTGCTTGGAGCTCCTTCGGGAGCTGAGTTTTAAATTTCGATCCTCATGCTATTCTTTGTCAGAATGTTTTTTTTTTTAAAGACTGGAGGAACTTTCAGTTCCGTCGAGAAGCTACCTTATCAGTTCGTGAAGATGCTCCGAACCTGCAGAGCATAACGTTGGACATCATGCCAAATATCCTGCGGCACAATCTAAAAAAAGACACGCAGTGAGAGCCGGTGGGCCCCGGGTGTGGTTGCAACTCCTGCATGCGCGATGGTTATGGCACTGTTTTTGGCACCATCTTCAAAGTGCCCTAATTGGCAAGGGATGCCTAGATAGAAACTGTAACTATTATTGCAACGTTGAAGAAATCAGAAATTCAAATTAAGACACTTTTGTAAAAGGCTAAGTTTGCATTGTAATTCAATGCATCTCATTGTAGATATGATGCATAACACTTCAAAAGCAGCCATACTTATTATTTAAGTTAATTAAGTTAATTTGCATCCTGTGAATATAAATGCTCTGCAAGCAGAGCTTCCCAAACTCCGCTCATCACGGCCCACCACAGTAATTTTTTCCACATTTACCAATTTTCTCTCCAATTTAAATCAGGTTCCTGCATGCTGCACACACTTGATGATTGATAAACACATGGAATACAATAACAACCGCCATTCGCCACTAAGTGGCGGGTAGGTCACCACGTTGCTTGTGCCAGGCTATTTGCACGTTGAGGCCATGGAATACACATACACACACACAAGATCTGTATCTTCTTTGAATCATCACTGCACATCACCTGGGACATGCTCACCAATCATCGTGCACATGTCAAAGGCTTATATGTCAAGTCTCAAGGATTCCTTGATACCCACAATGTTGAGTGTTTCACGGCCATGCAATGGATTTCAATGTTATTTGTTCGGTTACCTGGAATAATACATTCAGCCCTGTTTATTGCAGTGCAGCAGCAGCTGTTGCTGATGAATCAGGTCTTATGTAAGGCTCAGCACCACCGCTCTTTTCTCTAAAAGTAGACTTGCCCTTGCCTGCTGCGTAACAGTTAAATGTTTCTGTGCACGAATTACTCAGAGAGTCGGCGCTTGAGAGCGAAACGCGGAGCCACCTAAAAGTGATACAAGATCTATTCCCCTCAATGTTTGCCACAGTGGACAACTCGAGTTTGACGGCGTCCTGGCATCAACAACTAGGAGAACGATTAGCTGCTTTCCGCACGGGTTGTAGATGGGACATTAGCGTGGCCGGTGGCATCAGGGGTGTACGAAGATCTGACGGTGCAGCACTTCAGAACAAAAATGACATACTGTAGTGACAATTTTGACCGTGCTGTGATAATGTTCATTTGGGTAAGGGGTTAGCACTTCGCGTTTACTTGCATGAAGAGTTTTCTTTGTTTTTTTAAATTTTATTTTGGTTTGTGTTCATATAAAATAATACATTTTCCTCTCTCCACCCAGGTTTTCCAGCGGGGGTTGCACGCATACACGTCAACCCAACTCCTTTGGGTTGACATCAAAGTAGAAGAGGATTGCCTCAGATCAACTGAATCGGAATAAAAATTATACATGAATATGGGTTGGCATGTATGAGAATGCAATGTGTTTAATATCGCACCCACCTACACGCCGGGGAATCTCAGAGCACTTTACATCTCACATCTCATCTTAAACATTTGCAAGCGCACTCCCAAGTCGCAGCTGTCCCTGTGGGCACAAGATGACTCGGCATCTAGCCTGCAAACAGGCATTAGTCTGGTCGGTAGCGAGAACTAAAATTTCTGAAAGTCGGCACGAATATGGCACAATACCAAGATGAGCAGCTCATTCAGGACTGCACAGCAGGCCATGGAGTCAAAGGTTACTGCAAGGAGAGGAGAGAATGAGATTGACCGTCATGGGCAGGGAGGTGTCTTTGCTTTCAGTCTTTTGCTTCTTCTTGGCTCGAAAGTAGAAGAGGATTTTGTCTCTGATCAACTGAAATGGAAGAAAAAATATATATGAATTTGAATATAATGCAGGGTGAGAACTTAAAGGCATTCATAAATAAAAACATGATCATAAAAATATACAAGATATATATATTCACGCACCCAGATCTGGTTTGTACGTTTATGATTGACAGTACTTCTTTAAATATGCTTTGCTTTTTACAAAAATGTTCAAGTAGAAATTGTTATCACAGTAGTGTTTATATGAACGTTAAAGTCAAAGTTACTGTACATTTAATAATACAGTGGGTTAGGCAAATAAGGCAGAGCCAAGACATTTACAGTGTTTGAACTATAAATGTGAGTCATATATGGCTAATTCTATATTCGACATTTCCAGCACATTTCAACAATCCAACATTGTTATTTACAACATTCTGTGTATCATCAGGGAAAAGTCTTGGCTGCACATGCATGAATGTCTGAGCATTGCTTACCTCATACACGTAATCAAATATCTCCAGGATGGTCAGAATGCTGGCCCCAATAAACAGGCCCATCTGTCCTCCGATGTCCCCTGTTTGTGTAAGAATGCGAGAAGGGTGTGAGATCAGTTATTTTTCTCTCGCTCGGTCACACCTATTTGCTCCATCTCCCATAATCTGATACCCTTTATGAACCGACGTCCATTTCCAGGGATTGACTTTTTCAGCTTATGTTAATCTTAATAAAAAAAATAACCCGAGGCAATCTCCAAGGAAACGCTGTCAATCGGTTGGGTTTCACCAAATAGCCGTTTTATTTTTTCACTGGGAGCCATGTGGCGTTGTTATGGGCTGGACCGCTGGCTGCACTGACTGCCAGGCAGTGTCATTATTATAAGACGATGCTGCGATGCGACGGGTAGCTTCTTACTGCACGAAACGGCTGGCCATGTAGCCCACGTATAAATAATACAAATTAAAATAATGACGGCAGAGTAAAGTGAGCAGTGGCAGCGACGGACCCGTACAGCAAGGCTCACAGCGTCCAGCATGGACACCCGTCATGAGGCATTTGCTCAAAGTAATGGCCTCAATTAAAAAAAAATGCAGCGTTGCAGTAATTTCCTCCGTTTGGCGCACACTGTTTTGCAGAATATCACCGGCCAATACTATAAACTATAAAGCATGCCACTGATGATGTGGTCAAAACAAATGTAAAAAAAAAAATCCGTGGAATGCCACAGGCAGTCTGATGCACTCACAGATCTGTCGATGACGAAAAGTGAAGTCTACAGCGGTCGTGGCTCATTCAACACCGCCCGGGTCATTTTGAGTGGACCACCTCTCAGAAGACATCTCTGGCATTCCCGTGATATTTTTTTCTCCAATTTTCTCCAACCCAGCTTATCTTCCATTCCAAGATTCCCTTAACACTCAACTGACAGACCGCCACCACAGGTGGGTAATTTATTGCCTGCAGTCAGGCGGTCCAGCAGCTTTTATATATATTTTATCCCAAGGTGTTTATCGTCCTGGGAGCAAATGCGCTATTGCCCTACCCCTCACGCCCCGTCCCCCTCCCGTGAGGACTAGCTGAATGTCAAGCCTCTAATCAGATCTCTGGCAGAACAAGCATTGCGAGGTTAATGAGGGTAACACACTTTTATTCTTAGCAGAACATAAGAATATTACAGACAGTAGTTTACAGTCTGAAGTACTTCAAATAATTAGCAATATATTATAAAAGACTGTAAAACAAAACCGTAATTGCCGCATAATTACATAGTAACTGGAGAAGAAAATGACGCATGAATAGTTGTAAACTGCATTGCAAATGCAAAACGCTATTAGAAGCCAATGAATGCAAATGAAACAATCATTTATTTCTCAGTGGGTATGATACAATTGTATATATGTAAAAAAAAAACATAATGAAAGTTGCATGGACTTACAACATCATCTCTGATAAAAAAGAAACACCACGTTAAGAGCTACTGTTTGTTCCGGCGTAAACAAAGGGAGACAATCTGGCACACGCTTTGCTATCTGCTGATTTACTTCCACATTGGTCCAACACGCCGCTAAATACGTTAAAATCGCTTCGTGCAACATACGGCATAAAGGTGTGCCATTAAAGCCATAAAACTCTCTCTTGTTTCAGTTTGCAAAAGCGAGCAGATTAAGTGTTTCTATTCCACTTTCCTCACTGTCAAAATTCTCACCACCGTGGAATTATGCGTATTTTCCTGCGTGTGGAGCTCCAGAGGCGAATAGATGTCATCCCCGGCACACATTGTTTAGGGTGAGGGCTGTGCATAATAATCAAACTGATGCATGTAATGGCCATACCACAGGGAGTGGAGTAAAGTGTGGGAACACTGCCCTGGACTTCCAATCAAGGGGAACAAGTAAGGTAAGGTGGTAACATTTGAGGTACAAGAAGCTGGGACATGCCATGAAAAAGAGAATATCTAAAAATTACCAGGATATACATGTAAATGCATTTTTTTAGTGGTATACTGTTACACAATTGACAACAAAAAAATAATCAAGGCTTAATGGTCCTGGGGAAAAAACTTGAAGCTACCTCAAAAAGAAGACGATCCTGGGAAAACCAGGACAGGTTAGGTGTATGACGGTGAGCAATATGCGTGTATGATGGTGAGAAATATAAGTGCATTAAGGTGCTTAAACACTGACCGAGCAGTCCAGCCACCTCATAAGCCTTTTTCTGCTCAATCGTCTCATAGTTCAAGGCTTCGAAGAAGATATCCAGCACCAACACATTTTCCCTATGAAAAGGAGAATACATTTCAGATGTCATGCATCCCGTTGTGACAATGGCAGCCTCTCGTCTTGCTGAAAATGTCAAAAACACGGGAACGTTTATGTGATGTTCTGGTGAGATTGGGGGTACACCAATATCAAAACAAAGTTTCAGATAAATCCCACGAATTCACAGTCGTGGGCACAGACTGCGTGTGTTTGTAGATATGAGCCAAAAGCTATCAGTTACATCGCGATCGGGACAGAAAGCACACGCACGCGATGTACGCCTCTGTCTTGTTGTACTTCTTGGCCAGGTATTTGGCCGAGGCCTTGCTTGGAATCTTGACCATGGAGAGTTCCTTCCCGTAGCGTGTCATGTTGCATGGCGTCTCGCACAAACAGAAGTCATTGTCCCTCTTCACCAAGACGTCTGCAACAGACAAGGGGATGTGGTTCACTCTGGTCGTCTGGCACAGCTGCAGCTGCAATGTGGTCCTCAAGGAAAAAAAATATTAGCAGAACCACTCCACTCTGTGTGTCCACATATCGGTACAAATATGTTTAAGCGCATCAGTCCATTGGCTTTCAAGAACAGAATTTATTTAAGCAAACAAATTCTGGACCGATTTCCACATTTTTTGTTTCATCAGCAGTAATCAGGTTTGTTAAACAAATGCTGCTTTAGCATACAGTGAGAGAAAAAAGTATTTGATCCCCTGCTTCTTTTGTACGTTTGCCCACTGACAAAGAAATGATCAGTCTATAATTTTAATGGTAGGTTTATTTGAACAGTGAGAGACAGAACAACAACAAAAAAAAACAGAAAAACACATGTCAAAAATGTTATATATTGATTTGCATTTTTATGAGGGAAATAAGTATTTGACCCCCTCTCAATCAGAAAGATTTCTGGCTCCCCGGTGTTTTTTATACAGGTAACGAGCTGAGATTAGGAGCACACTCATAAAGGGAGTGCTCCTAATCTCAGTTTGTTACCTGTATAAAATACACCTGTCCACAGAAGCAATCAATCAATCAGATTCCAAACTCTCCACCAAGGCCAAGACCAAAGCGCTCTCCAAGGATGTCAGGGACAAGATTGTAGACCTACACAAGGGTGGAATGGGCTACAAGACCATTGCCAAGCAGCTTGGTGAGAAGGTGACAACAGTTGGTGCGATTATTCGCAAATAGAAGAAACACAAATGAACTGTCAATCTCCCTCGGCCTGGGGCTCCATGCAAGATCTCACCTCGTGGAGTTGCAATGATCATGAGAACGGTGAGGAATCAGCCCAGAACTACACGGGAGGATCTTGTCAATGATCTCAAGGCAGCTGGGACCATAGTCACCAAGAAAACAATTGGTAACACACTACGCCGTGAAGGACTGAAATCCTGCAGTGCCCGCAAGGTCCCCCTGCTCAAGAAAGCACATATACATGCCCGTCTGAAGTTTGCCAATGAACATCTGAATGATTCAGAGGATAACTGGGTGAAAGTGTTGTGGTCAGATGAGAACAAAATGGAGCTCTTTGGCATCAACTCAACTCGCCGTGTTTGGATGAGGAAGAATGCTGCCTATGACTCCAAGAACACCATCCCCACCGTGGAGGGAGCTAAAGGTTCGAGTTGCCAAACGTCAACCTCATTTTTCGATTTAAAGCTTTCGTGACTGCAATGATTCTTTCGGTAAAGTCACGTAGAATGAGAATAAAATAATAAATTGATAAAATAAAATAACACAATAATATTCTCACTTCTTTGGTTCTTTCGGTAAAGTCACGTAGAATGAGAATAAAATAATAAATTGATAAAATAACACAAAAATATTCTCAATTTATTATTTTATTCTCATTCTACGTCAACCTCATGTTTTGCAGAGGGATCAAATACTTATTTCCCTCATTAAAATGCAAATCAATTTATAACATTTTTGACATGCGTTTTTCTGGATTTTGTTGTTGTTATTCTGTCTCTCACTGTTCAAATAAACCTACCATTAAAATGATAGACTGATCATTTCTTTGTCAGTGGGCAAACGTACAAAATCAGCAGGGGATCAAATACTTTTTTCCCTCACTGTATGTTATGGGCAAGGACACAATATAAACTATATATAATCTATGAAACCCATTCAACGTACAAGCAATATCGTACACAAACTCATTATAAGCTGTCACGGATCATTACATGTACTCAAGATTGTTTTGACAAAACTTTATTTTTTAAAATATATTTTCTGTGAAGTGGCTGGGTGGCTTAGAGGTCATTGCACTGAGCCAGCTGAGATTCTGGGTTCAAATCTGGACAAATATCTGTGATTAAACCAGGTTCTTATATGAAGAAGATATAAGAAGATCACCAATGACTGCAGTAAAAACCCTTCATGTTAAATTTGGTATTTTGTTTGATGCGGATAAACCATAGCTTAGACAATGAAAAAAATATTAGGTTGAATTATGCGTGTTGAACATTTCTCTGTCAAAGAGAAAATTGGAAAGTATGCCCCATAGTGTGCATATAAAAAGGTCACTTGAAGAAATATCAGAAGTATTTTTTGTGGTATATCCTCAGTGGGCCTTTTTATTACTTGCAGGGTGATGCATTACTCTGGAAGTGCTCCGAAAGGGCACTTCATCTCATGACATGATCCCGATGAGAACAGTTCGAATAAAAATGTGAAGAAAAACACGGTCCCACAAAGTAAAAAAAAACTGAGAAAAACCTTTATCCACAAAAGCCAATATAAGACATGTGAGTGTTACATGGGAGCATGTGTTCATCATTAGGTGGCACAAGGTGCCTGTGTTGTACGTACCTAGTACAGGGCGGGCACATTCCGTGTACTGCTCCGGGGTACAGTAGGGGGCATCTCCTGCAGCAAAGATAAGAGTGGAGAGGTCAGGGAGGTTCTTTGTGTTTACAGCGGCTGCTGGTGTCCCTCTGCCTGTCACCGACACACAGGGCACACGACCTCATTGCTTGTTGAGATGAGATGGAGATGTTGTCCTCCTCGGTGGCTTTCTCCCTCCACCACTGCACGTGGCAGTCACAAATACAGGACTATGCGGACGCGCACCGACGTACTGAGTCTTTCTGTAAAAATTAGATCGCTACAAGGGTTGTTAGTGATCAGTATTCATATACACATACAGAAAAAAACCACCAGTCTGTCCCATAAATGTGATTCGCCAGTTCTATTCTTCGTATGGAAATATGTTGAGGAGCTAAATGCAAATGTCCAGGTCTCGTAGCCCAGTGAGTTTGGGTAGTTTTGCTGTTCTTCCGTTGAAGGAATACAGACTACAGATTGGTTTACTCTGTGGTCCATAGTTTGGGTTGCTTGGCCACAATCGCACTGCAGCTTGTTTCAAATGTTCCATTTATGAAGGAAATGTGCACATGGGCCTGTTGATGTTCTGATGCGGTTGATGGTTACACCGATGTCTTTAAGGAGGAGCCTTAAAGCCAAGATGTGCCGATGTTTAGGTGCCCGAATTAGGTGTTTATTCTGGATGTCTGCATTGTTCCACTGTTTTTCCCAGCGTTCTTCCACATCTGGGTGAGATTCTAGAATGGTGACAACAATGCAAATTCCAGTAGGGAAATCGTGACTTGGGTCAATGGCAATGTACATTGTTGAGGTGTTGGTTGATGGGAATGTTGTAACTGACAAATAAACATATAAACTCCCTTGCAGTGTTTGCATGTCTGCGGATATTTGGTAGTCGAATGTTCGCCAAAACAGGGGACCAGGAGATTGGTGTCGGTTTTACTGTTCCCCTTGTGATTGGCCAGTGAGGTTACTGAAGTCTCCCATGCAAGAGATTAAAAAGTCTGAAATGGGTTGTCATCTGGTTAAATACGGAATAACTATAGCTTGTTCAGTGTTGGCATGCATGGTCACATTTTTTTATATCGTTGCTGGATTCAACTGCTGTATGCAAATCGTTTGTAATATCTAGCTTCCGATACAAAATTTGTTTGAAATTCAATCCATCGGTTTTTTTTAGGTCAAGATGAACATTACAACTCACAACTATAGATTACATTTAACATTTGCTGCATTTTGTCGGTCTGAGTTCAGTAAATTAAATTGCCTTGTATAAAAGAAGCAACAAAAGGAAATTTCGACAACAAACTACATAATTAAATTGCCTGTTTTGACTGCCAAATGTCTTGAGGCTGAGAAGACGATTGAATATAAATGATTAATTCAACATCTGAGTCTTCACGAAACAGCAACCATTGCCATATCTAAACTCCAGCCAGTTTGAAGCCCTTGTACTAATGCAGAGTTTTGCGAATTAAATCAGCAGACGTCTTAAAAGTACCACGTTGTTCACACAAAGCACGCGTGGTGATGTGGACTACCCTGGATTACAAGATTATAATTCAGACATTAGCACGTGCTCCGCAATTAAAATTCACACTTAAACGCCAGCAGTTTAACGGTTAAATTTTTTTCTTCCTCTCTCTATATATATAAAACAAGCAAACGCTCGCGATGCGTGAATGTTAATGGCCTTTTGGAGTTGCGAATGTGCTGGAGAATTCTGCAAACAGTGCGGTGCATGCCAGTCGCATGCCATCAATAATGTTGAATTTCACGAGCGCCCGAGGTCCGACGCCAATTTGCGTAATCCGCCGAGCTGACGACAACGGAATCGGCTGCATTACACTCGATACGATTAACATAGCTCTGTGCGCAATCACCCAGGCATTTAATTTCAAAATATGCTACGGGATTGAATGTACGCCAAACACATGCAGCGCAGCCTTGCAGCGCTGAGATTAGAGTTTTACAAATTAAGTTACCAATTAGATCACAATCACTGTGCGCATGTTTGCATGAGAGATCATTTTCTTGGTATTTTCTTCTCTTATCTGTGCTGTCTGGATATGAAACATTCTTGATTTTGTTTACCCCTGTGGAAATCAGATATTATTCGTTTTAGCATATTATGATGTTATCTTCGAAGCTCTGTCAAAGCATTGCTCAGTATTGACATACAATAATATGACATTTATAATGTATAATCTACAGATAATGTCACAGTACTGTGCCATTCACATTTAATTTTGTTACCACATCCTCGTTATACCGACTTTAATCACATAGGAATGTCTGTCCTTAACGCTCGTGACGTGACTCCACATCGACCAGCCCCCTCATTAATATTCATGAGCTGGTGACGTCCTCCAAATGGACACCCCTCCACCCCTCATTAATAATCATGAGTGGGTGACGTCACTCAATATGGAGTACTCCCCCCCTCACTATTAATCATGTGCAAGTGACGTCACTCCACATCGACCTGCCCTCTCATTAATATTCATGAGCTGGTGACGTCCTCCAAATGGATACCCCTCCACCCCTCATTAATAACCATCGAGCGGGTGACGTCACTCAATATGGAGTACTCCCTCCCACCTCACTAATAATCATGTGCAAGTGACGTCACTCCACATCGAACAGCCCCCTTCATTAATAATCATGAGCAGGTGACGTCACTCCAAATGGACACCCCCCCCCCCCCATTATTATTACCTACTACAATGAGCCAAGAATGTCTGTGCGCAGCGCTCGTGACGTCAATCCACGTCGACCAGCCCCCCTCATTAATAATCATGAAGAACAGGTTACGTCCTCCACATAGACCCCCCCCTCATTAAAAATCATGAGCATGTGACGTCACTCCACATGGAGCACCCTCCCCCCTCATTAATAATCATGAGCAGGTGACGTAACTCCACATCGAACAGCCCCCCTCATTAATAATCATGAACAGGTAACGTCCTCCAAATGTGACACCCCCCCCTATTCATAATAATTAGCGGGTGACGTCACTCCACATGGGGAGGGGGCGAGGCGCCTCCTCCCCCCTCCTCGGCGTCAACTTACAACCCTCACTACAAAGGCAGAACCCCCACGTCACGTGATCTCCGTAACGCTGTTGAGACATCAAAGTAAAGAGGACGTCGTGATGAACAAGGGATTATAACCTTAAAATGAAATAGGTCTGTGTCACCGCGCCCTTACAAATTGCACACGAGTTGATGCAATGAATATCACGTCGTGGTTTGCTTTTCGCTTGCAAGTTTTAGACTTACTGCAATACACCCGTCCTTGGACGGGCAAAAGGCTAGTTAACTAGATTTAAAGTTGACCTAATTGTGCACAGGATGAGATCGGCTTTGGTAGGTGTAAATTTCTGGTTTTAAAATAAAATATATGGAGAAAGCATTTATTTAACATGTTTTATTCTACAATATTTTTTTTTGTACAGGCCTTCGGCAACCCACTGCCAGTCGGGTGTGGGGTAGCATGACCATATCTCAATGCCCTGGTCAGTGTCAGTTGGTGGAGAGGGGTCAATGATGAAACTAAAACTAAACTCTTTTTTATTTTACGAGGTAAGACCCACTGAGCTGTGTAGCTCTCTGTCAGAAGAGACCTGGCTATTGTAAATGATAGCTCAACGAAGTGATTTCTCACGTAGAAATTTATAGCAGCTTAATACTCAAAACACACGTTTCCAAAATGTGGAGGAAAAAAACCCAAGACCGTAAGAAAAAAATCACGCGACTGTAGGGAGAGAGAACATGGAAACTCCAAATATACAGGGATCGAATCCACGACCTCCTGTACACCAGGCAAGGTAGTTAACATCTCGCCACCATGGCGCCCAGTACAAGTTCAGGTCCCACTCTCCACGACTAGTAGGTTCATCGAGCAGTCTACACTTTGCCACTATTCCCACTCAAATAATTATATCAGTTGTTTGTTTTTACCAGGAATAGCTCAATGGGTCTCAAGACTTTCTTAAGGAGGGTCCTGTACTGTGATGTTTAACCAAATTGCATTGATGAGAATTTGAAATGTAGGATGAAACTGGGTTTATGCGGAGAAAACCAATGCCCATGAGAAGGCTAACACTCCACACAGATATCTCACACATTCATTGCTCTGCTGCCATGTCTTGGCTACCTCGCAGCCTAAGCCTACAACGCCTACTATTCCCATGCAGTCTCCCATACCAGACTGAATAGCCGAAACTCTGCTTAGTTGCTGAGATCTAACGAGATCAGGCACATTCATCACGGTGATTTGTTCATAGGTACACACCAGGTGTGGAAGTGAATCCAGGTTGCAATACAATACAACAAAATCTTTCACCTTCAATTAATCGATTGTCCACATCTAACACTGACACAAATACAATGTGTCACGCTGCGCATTTGTCTCCTGCAATCGGCACTGAAGCGTGGGATACGTCCACTTTGTGGGTTCACGTGTGCCTCGTTCACTTATTTAATGCTACAACTAGGGCCAGATCTTTTAACGGCCGAAGCTTTGCGCGTCAAAAATTCAATTCACATAAATAAAATATAAATACACTGTACTATAAAATTCACTTAACTTTTAAGGCAGTTTTAGATTTTTTTGTAAATGTTAAATGTAAACCTGAGAAAACGCTAGCATTGGACAAAGCAAGGCACAGCTCATCAGGTGGACATGTGCGGTGGTGGCATTAGGCATCAGAAATCTAAGCAAGAGCTTGGGGTTGCAAGAACCTCAAAGGGCTCCTGTTTCATAAAAAAAAACACAAGTGTACCAAAAAGTACGCTTGCTTTGAGATCCTAGTAAAATAAAAGCTCATCATTATAATAACACCTCTGATTAGCACAGTAGGCTATGTTGCGGTGCGAAAGAAGTTCAACATACATATACCATGCATACATAACACTATTAAAAGTAAATTTGGATATAAAGCTTTCGTGACTGCAGTGATTCATATTCTTGGTTCTTTCGGTAAAGTCACATGTATGGGTTTTCTCCGGGAGCTCCGGTTTCCTCCCCATGTAAATACT